CATGTTGATGCTTAGCATGGAATCCAAGTTGCAAACCAAAATTTATGATAATAGTTTCTATCTTTTATCGTATTGTTTATTTAACTCCATTAGTGAATTCGCCTTATGAGAATCATAAGCAACCTTCTATTTATTCATTAATTTAATACCTGTGATGAAATTGAATCAAATTTCTTGCCTTGTCACTTTTACAACAATCTAGTAAACTTAATTATTCCCCTGTGGTTAATCCAAAAACCTTCAGAGGTATTGAATAATAAATACCTTGTCCCCATTTAAAACGATTATAAATGGCCATACATGCTCAGAATAATTAGTGGGAAAACTGAAATGGAACAATTATAGGTTAATCTTGATTAAAACATTTTCCACTACGTCCCAACAATATAAAACATAAAAACTATTGGACTGGAGAAAGCAATAAAAACTTTTATGTTAAAGAATTCCAATGAATTTATTCCTATGAAATACTTGTTCTTTTGGATTATCCCATCATTTTGAGCAGTACAATAAAAGTTCAAAATCCCGTAATGTACGTCTATTATTGATTATCATAGAACATTTTTATTTTTCTACTTGGGTTTTGAAAAATTAACTTAAATTAGTAACTTTATAAATACGCATGACCTACTTTAATAAGTACTGAACTCAATGAAAAATATAGAAGCCATGATCGATGAAATGAATTTGGGGTTGTTTTTTTCTTGTGCTATTTTTATTTAAGTAGGTTTACTTATTTCAAAACTATGGCAATTTCCAATGAGTATTAAAAAATCACTCATAAATATATTTTACAGCAAAATAGTTATACACGGAACAGAATAGATTAATGGTATATAAATATAAATATTAACACGTCTCAAAAATAAAAATGTTCTTTCAAAAGAAACATTTTAGCTTACTCACCTGTATCTTAGTGACTGTTGTTTTCACAAACAGACTGATACTTGTTAAGACCATTCTTAGTAAACATTTCTGAGCGTAAATCAAGTGAATAAGGTCTGATTTTTGAGATAAAATAGAAATGTTTTCACTTAAATTCACCAAAATATCTATTATCAGCTAATAATAACTCTATAAAAAAACCATCCAAACAGTTTACAAAAATTTTCAATCATAGCAGTGTCAAATGTAATCCGTTAAACAAATTTGTTAAGGCTGCATTCTTATAACAACAAGTTATTCAATAGTGACTTTTCTCTGCGCTAGGACCCCTGGGTTCAGAACCCTCATGCAGGATCGTGGGTGCGCATTACTTAAGAGTCTTATACTAGAACGAAACGTCCGTCCAGTGCTTCCAGGTTTTCAATAGTGGTCTAGCTTACATCGACTCATGAATTCAACTATTAAAGTCACTACAATCTCCACAAACCTTTATTCTAAAAATAAAATGACTAAAACTCTGATAGAAATTGATCAGTTTTAATCAGAAGTGTTATAGATTGTTAACATAACATCAAACAACCTTATTCATCAGTCCTACAATTTGCTTAATTGTTTAAACTACTTTCAAAATTTAAGATTATTTTAGTATTCTCAATGGCATTAACTACCTTCCTAATAAGGTAACCACTAATCTTAATTATCTATAGCGTGAATCAGTTAGTGTTTTTTAAATCCCGAAAATCGCGTTTACGAAGGCTTTCTTTAAATATACTATACTATGATTTAACTTATATCAGTGATTTTCTATCACATTGATGATATGAGGGAAAGTGTACTATCAATATAAAATTCATTTAATATATCGTCTGCCTTGTCATATTCATGTAAACCTATATGGTTTAGAAAGTCCAATAAAAGATTTCTGCTAATCGTTTGAATAGAAACGTTTTCTTAAAAGTCCACTTTATTATCATTCCGAAGAGTCTTCACGTGTTAATAGGTTCCGATCTTTCTGACGTCATGTTAAAAATTTATTCACTTCTTAGTCGTTGGTAACTCACCAATTCAAACACAAACTTTGCATCTCAAAGTAGTGCTTCCAACCACTTATCCTTCCATGCCTTTTCTCCAGTATGTTTTGGTCTTGTGTTTATTTTTACTAATTAGTTCGTACTTTTTAAACGGTAATTAGTTATTATTGTCCATCGACAATGTTCAATAATTAATATTCACGTTTGTCAAATGAACAGTCGTCAGTCATACTGACCCGTAAATTATTTTCAGTTTCCTATCCTTCCTTAACATCCTGATTATTGTACAACCTTCTTTTGATATTTGAAAACTCGGATCACTCTGTGATGTAATCTCTCCTCTCCTTCTATATACTCATATATTTATAAAAAACTGCTGTCTTCGATTTTACAACAAGTTCTGTTTTCACTTCTTCCTACAACGTTTTTCGTGACTCAGCTAATTTAGTTTAAGAATCTATTTCATACTACAGTACAGCTACACCAATTATAACGATGGTAAATCACTGGTACATACAGTACATATTCGAATGAAAAGTTAGTAAAATAACACAGTATTTTTCAGTTTATGACAAAGAATTTTACAGAAAAAGTGGCAGAGCGATTAATGTACATTAGAAAGGTCTGTTTAATAGTTGTGTGATTACATCACGTTACATCATAAAAAACAATTTGGCTTCACAATATTTGATCGATTTCTTGTGAATTTACATTTCTGGTAAAGATTGGTTTTTCAGGTTGAAAAGTATTTTAAAACCCAGTCACTTTCCGATCGTGGAAACGGTAATGAATAATATGATAGTATCTTTTAAAAGCTACAAATGGGGGTTACACACTAGAAGTATAGATATGAAGAAAATTTCTATCGAGGCAAAGAAAACTAATATGGAACTGATACAGAATTATAAAGTAAAAGTGTTTGTTACGTGATCGTAAATAGAATAAATTCCTTCACACATAAAGAATTCTGAGTCCTCACACAAAATGGTGCATACGTAGCTCTTTAGTTTTAAATCTATTTTACCAATTTAAGTGTTTAATGAACACTGATTAGTTTTTTCAGTATTTATTGTAATAATAATCCATTAAAAAGTTTGAGTGAAGACTACATTGTTAATTGCAAGACGTATATTGAATGCGGTGCTATTTCTTCAACATTTTCGTCAGCGAGATACAACCACTAGTATTTTACAGATTAGTCCCATTTTTTTTCTCAAGTTGGCTATTAACGTGTGTTAGTTGCTTCTGTTAGTGTATTTTCGTAACAGTTCTTTTATTAACCACAGATGTGAAATCTCGATTAATAGATTTACTAATCAGTAAGGTTTTTTCTATAAAATGTAATCAAAAGGTTTACCGAAATGTGTGCTTGTTAACTTAAACTGTGTCATGTTAAATATACATGATTCCAAAGTAGGAAATGGAAATCTGAACTAGTGATTAGTTAACTTATATAAATGCGGCAGTATTTAAAAATCAGAAAGTTAGAAAGAAAAAAATCACTGATTTTTGTTGCTTGTAGCCATTAGTTGTCAGTTTATTCATTCAAGAAAATAATTTACATATTTTTTTAAAAATTTCACAGGGTTATTACAAAACTGAGACATCTGACAGTCCATAGTAAATTACTGAAACCAGTTAATATGAAGTCTTCAAATGGTAAGTACTGCCATAAATACCAATGTCAATTTGATAAAGAATGTAGAATTTAGCTTATTTATGCTGGTTTTAGTTGACTGATGTTAGTTAGAAAGATACTCAAAACCAAGGCTTGTATCCCGTGTTTAGAATATGTTAACGTATGCATAAATTTTGCAGTCTTAAAACCCTATACATCCCATTCGCATTACATTCTTTGTACGTGTCTTAGTCAAGTACTAATTCAATCATGGTCAGTGCTTTTGATTACAAAATGAATGTGATGAAAACCAGGATTGAACAAATTAAGAATAATGCTTTTTGCAATAATTAATTTGATATTTTCAGTACGTTGCCTTCACACAACAACGTCCAATACAATGTACAGTCATCAAATCAAACATAAATCTGATCAAAATAAAATTATTTTAATATAAGCTAAATCACCATTAAAATCTCTGTTAGTTGAAGCGTCAATAATTCAGTCATGATAATGAGATATCTAGGTTACTATGAGCCTCATATGTAGCATTAATTTTTGTTAAAAATGAATGGCGTATTGACAGTATGTTTGGCAAATTTACTGTCCAACACAATCTTAGGATTTATGAACATCTTGATGTGCTTCATAGAAAACTAATACATTAAAATTTATGAAGTGAATCAGGTGTCTTATAGCTAAATTTAGGTTGAACGGCTGGCTATTTACTCATACATTTTGACAGAAAGTATGTTTTAGCTGTAAACATGTACTTTATAAAATCGCTCATTTAAAATCTTGAGACTAATGTTTTATATTTGAAAAGTCCATAGCAGTTTAAGCTTAACTAAGTGTCACCTTCAAAATCAAAAGGAGATTTCGATCTTGTCAGGAAAACATTTGCTGTACAACTGTGATTTTTTGAACCTAATTATAAAACGCCTAACATCAGATTAATGACTTATTGATAATTCTAAGAAAATTGTAAATTATTCAACTTCATGTTCTTTTAAACGGTAAACCAGTCTCTTGAGCACTGCATCTCTGTTGATTGTCATAAATGGTCTCAGTATTTTTCTTATAATTTTAAATATAATACAATCAGTACATATTAGAAAATCTCATTGTTCTGATAGGAAAGATTACAGCCAATGCTTGAAAAACACCAACGAAACCAATTTAACCAGCTATCTCTTTGAAACAACAATGTTTTATAAATAAATGATACCTACAAACTATGTTTTCGTAAATGAGAAACAAAATCATATCACTAAGCTTGTAATTTATGCATCTCTTTTTAGGAGGTATAGCTACATATAACTGTTATTGTTGCGTTAAATATTGTACAAAAGAGTTAATAATCCAATTGACTGGAGCTTCTAGATTATACATAAGATAATATATTACTCGTCATAGTAACTAATACTTTTTACATATTCTATGAAAGGTAAATAAACTTCACTTACCTCATGATTTAATTTGGGAAATATTCAAAAAATATTCATTTACAGAAAATTACTTTTAAATTAAAATTTAGAGATTTTACATTGAAATTCCCTTTTAAAAAATTCTAGTAATGTTGTAACAAATTAGAAAACTTGTTTACTTGAATAGTTTTAGACCAATAATAGTTTTCCTTTCAATATGTTTATTTGTGGTTTATTCTGAAAGAAGACATAGCATTCCGTGATTAAAAGTTAGAACAAAGATTTGTGTGATTGGATTATGTAGATAATGTTCTAACAAACAAGCTGAATAGAGTCATATTGTTTTGAAAAAGACATTCAATGATTTGTATTTTCCAAACTATAGGGCTTATTTTTCCTTCTGATTCATATAAGTGTGATACAATGTGAAATTTTGCTTTGTTACAAGTTAAACTTTTCAATCCAGTAGGTTAAGCGTTCGCGCGCAAGACTGAAGCCCCTGGGTTAGAATCCCACGAGCGGGATCGTGGATGCGCATTGCTGAGGAGTCTCACAATAGAACGAAACGGCCGTCCAGTGCTCGCAGGTTTCTAACGGTGGTCTAACACCAATCGGTTCATGATCTCAATAAAAAGCTTAATAATCTCCACAACCCCTATACTGATAAAGTTCAATATCTCTTTGAATTAAAGTGATTATGTAGTCAATGTAATTTTCTGAAATGTGTAATAATCGAAGATAATTAACTATTTTCGAAAATATTGAACAAAATTACACTTATTTTTCACAAGTGAATATAGATAGAACAACTAATTGTTTATAATCTATAAAGTCAGCCATATAAATAAACAATAATATCGGTTTGCATTTGGATTTTATTGTCATATCTAGTTGAAACCTGGATGTACCTTTTTTTGGTATAGTTAAACAGGCTATTTGTTTGCCGGGAAATAAAAAATCAAATAATTTTTCTGGCTTTTTAGCAGATTTATTCCGCAAAATGACCAGTAAACTTGGGTTTGTGAATCAGAGAAAGGTTATGTCTATCGACAAATGATTTTGTAGTGTACGGTGTCATTATACACGTAAATTCTAATTTACATGATTTTAGTGTACTTTATTATCTGAAAAAAAATCGTTTTGCCATAAATAAGAACGAGTTAAATTTCCCAACTGTTTTGTTAGCGAATTCGATACTTTTTGGCAGTACTTATCTGAATCCTAAAATTACGAAACTTAGGAAAATAACCTTCAATAGTTGTAGCAATAGGGTGTTAATATGTACAGTAATCACTGTCAAATTTTAGGAATCAGACATATTTGAGGGAATGGTTCATGGACGAACATGTTTTGCATCACACATATATTAAAAATTGAATTTAGAATTTATTCCGCATCATGACTTGAGAAGTTTATCATGGTCGAAATTAAAATGTTTCATAAAAAATGTATCATTAATCACTTTTGAACAACAACTCAAAGATTGAGCTTTATTAAAATAATACGGGAAACGCTGAAGTGCTTTATAATTGTGCACATCTAAGATAGTTACTTTCAAAAATATATTTACCACAGATATATAAGTGAGGGAGCTCCTTTCATGTGGATATCGGTAAAGAACGGCACTAACGATTGACTTACTGGCCTCTTCTCAATTATGTCATGTCTATATGTGAACTGGACTATTATTTTTATTACCGTAATGACAGTAGTCCCAATGAAAACATTCCCCGATTGTTTTCATACAACTTTAATCTATTAATAGGAACACATCAGAAAGGGTGTTCTTTTCCTACTACCTCTTATACATTCTATAAACTTTGGTAATAACCCATTTGTAAGTACTTTATATATATCGACATAACGTTCACCATTATCGACACAAATTATTTAAACCTTAGCTTTAACATGTAACCATCAATAGGCATAACATAATATTTGCAAGTGTATAATTTCTGGGACTAAAGAAAACGTTATAGAAGATAACTATTCCATCACATATTAACTATTTTTCGGATAATTTATGATGAGCATCGGGCTACGAAAATATTTATATGATACACATAACTTGAAGTCATTTGAAAATAACTAGAAAAACATCATTGCATTTTCTTAAATGCCCAAGGAAAATTATATAACCGAAAAATTTAAATGTTCAGATTATTGATCATTATAACGAGACAACTAGAAACCATGGCAATTTCGGAGAAACAAAGAGATTTACTTATTTATCAGGCGATTATTTCAAGCAGCTCCTATCATTTGGAAATACAATTGAGAAATTCCAAATTGAAAAAATACTTTAATGACATACATCGTAAGTCGCACGTCTTCATAACACATATTAGACATCTCCAATCCAATTTCAAAAATCAGGATATTCTAACAATAAGTTACCGATTGTTTTTGTACATGTTAGATAATATTAAATTGTAGACACAAACCAGCTCAAATAAAGTTTAGTCCTAGTAAGAACCTAATAACAAATTAGTTTACATTCCAATTTAATAAAAATTGCGGATATTTAAATTATTAAAATGATGTCAGATTTAAAATAGAAACAAAATGAAAATAAGTTACCTTTCAAAACTTAATCAAAGTAATTGAGAAATAGGCATAAACAAAGAAAAATTGAGTAACACATTAATATTGATGGGGTACCATTTTAACATACATTTAATCATCAATCTTAAAAATATAACATTTTTGAATCTGTTAATCGATAGTCTGTTGAGTTCCTTCGAATTGAGCGTTAGCGATAACAAAATTCTCTATAAATCACCTCTTGATTTCATACTACCTAACAAATAGTGGATCAGAAGTGTTTACGATGTTAAATTCTCTGAAGATTTCGGGAGAGTACCATAAAACATTAAGATTTGACATGACAGTGAAATGAACAGTCAGTGTTTGCCGTTTTTAGGTGGCAACTTTTAGAACATAACTTGATTGTAGTTCTTGTTAATCAACATAAATACAACAAAGATAATTTTTAAAAAAAAGAATCAAGCGGAAGAATTTCTCTCTAAGGGAAATACAAAGATTACGTTAATAGGGAATGGCATTTTCTGTAGATAAAGTTAGGATCGGATTTTAAAATATAAACTCAGAGCATTTCTTCCTTAAGTAAATGATTCAAACTTTGCGCTCAGAATGTGCTGGAGTGGTTTTAGATAACTTACAAATGTAAATGTTCCAATCGATTTGGGTGAATTCCATGATCTGTATGTGAATACTTGAACGATGTAAGTGCATCAAGAGAGTATGAATAGAGTTTTCCCCAACATTTGTTATAATTTTGAAATGCGAGCTACCACAACAACACCCTCTGAACTCCTTCATGAGCCACAGAAATCCATAACCGAAAGCAAAATCACAATGATGAGTGACAATTTTTTGAGTTTCAATCGTATTGGAAAACACTGAGTTATTGTCGAACATTCAGTTCAACAATTACATGATGGAGTTCCTTCGAGATATTTCTTATGCAACACCAAGTCACTCGTCCTGATAACTGTTATTAGACAACTCTAGTCTATGAAAATAAAGTGGCATTGCATAATTTAGCAGAGCGATCATTAAACGCCTGTAATAATTATTTTCTTTGAGCCAGATCTTTTGAAATTCATTGACAACTGGACCTATAGCAATTCACCAGTTCAACGCTAATTTCTGAGTACAAAAGAGTCATATTCACTGCTTTAGTTTTAGCCAATTAATATCGTATTCTCCAACTTTTTCTTCATAAAGTAGATAGTTATTCTTCACATTCTTCCTAGTTAACTATTATTTCAGAATGCCACTTGTAAGACTAACTGACCTAACTTAATCTAACCAAACCTAACCTAAACTTTTGGTTATGTTTCGAATACCTTGTTAATTGATGCAACGCCTTTATTTTATTCAGTACGTGAAAACTTCTGATTATTTTAATTAATTTGTTAAAAGATACAATAAGATTCCATTTTTTATAGACTCCCGTACTAAATAGACATTCGGCCACCAGAACATTTTCGTAATTCTCCCATATTTCGCCAACATTATTCTACTAATCTTCAATAATATGTAAAATATGTCCACTGTTGGTTTGTAAACAACCAGACATGTCTTCAGAGTGTAAGCGCCTGAAGCAAAACCACGGAAATAAATGGATTCACGCTATTCTGTTACGTTCGTTGTTCTTGTTCTTTTTAGGTGCACCGACGTAGCTTGTTTTGTAGAATATCTATTTGAGGTTGACTGATACAATCGTAAGCGAAAATGTGAAGCAAATGTATAGCCTTTAGTTTAGGCCCTAAGGTAGACGTTAACACCTTGGATTTCCTGTCTTAATTGGTGATCATCGATATTATTACAGAAAAATTATATCACTATTTACTCCAGCGATGATCATCCGAGATATAAATGTATTTAGAAGGCTAGTCGTGAAAATTGTATTTCTATGGAACGCTTTTTAAATGTAACAGGGAACTGGAGGAATCTTCTTGACACTTCCATCCTATAGAAAAAGGTAGAAAATAAGTGCATTCAGAGTTCGTTAGTTACCGGCTAATAATATTAAAGAGTGGACTGTTTGGAAAATTGTTTGTAAGATTGGTCTGTAAGATTCCTCAACATTTTTTTTATGGTGGAATGTAATTGTGAAGGAATTCATCATGATAAATTCTAATTGTGGAATATTTCAAGTGTATATAAGTTAATTAAGAACATATGATTGAGGTAGACCAAAGATTGGGGTTATTCGAAGTTTGTAATACATATATACTGATTGTTAGAAACCCACAATATCTTTTCATACTACTAGTTTTCGAAAGCGGTTCGACATGAATTTTGATTGGACTACGATGTGTGCTGAACTTTGATTGCCCTAATAACTGACCAGTTTGCCTTCGCTATTTTAGTTATTTACAAAACAGGGAATGGCCTGACAGGTCAGTTTGTCAATGATGTATGGTTCATCATTTTCTAAATAAGTATTCTAGGACCCAAACATCAAAGTTTCACTATGTTAGCTCATGACTGCAACGGTATAAGTGTTGAGGAT